ATTCTGATTGGTCAGAATGCTATGCTATGCAAATAGTTCAGTCATTTAGAATGTTCACATTTCTATTATATGTGCACTGTGTGACAGACTCCGGTTACTCATTTTTGCTCGATTAAAAGTTCAGGCTTGACTTGACTGAGCACCCACTTTTTTGCTTTTCTGGCTATCTTTAGCATCTCTACCACCACCACATTTCAAATGACTTGATTTTTGTTCCTGTCTCTTTTCACTATCTTCCTTTCACATAGTATGCATGATTTTGACCTTGCTTTCAAGTGACATTCTTTGCTAATTCCGACCTCTTCTCATTTTTTATTTCAAAAAGCAAAGGGACAGCAGGCGGAGAAGGCAAGTCTGTGCTTCTGCTGCAACTGGACGATCATGTGAAGAGCTAGAGGGACAACACACTAGGGCTTGAGAGACTAAGAGAAGGGCCTCCTGGAAGACCTTAAAAAACACATTGAGTTGGGTATCATCAGCACATTAGTGGCACCAGACCACAAAATTCTGGAAAGCCTCTTTCATTTTTTTCATGTATATGTGAAATAGTATGGAGAATCAAGGAACTCTGAGACATTCCACAAGCTAGTGGTCAAAGTGTTGAACAGGAGTCCCCCAACACCACTACCATTCACAAAGTGACACCACATAAGGGGAAATCCCAAAAGCCGACCCCATTTTTCCATCAGTTAGCCACTTCTCATCTAAACACAAAACAACTGTCAAGATTCTTTTTTCAACAAGTGTGAGTGGTAGTGAGCAGGAGAGGTATCCTGTAGACCAGTGGTCCCCAACTTGGGGCCTCCAGATGTTCTTGGACTACAACTCCCAGAAGCCTTCACCACCACCTCTGCTGGCCAGATTTTCTGGGAGTTGAAGTCCAAGAACATTTGGAGGACCCAAGTTGGGGGACCACTGCTGTAGACCATCTTGACTGCTGCCATTGGTGTTGTCAACATGCAGGCTGCCCTTTGCTATATAAAGCTTGGCATCCTTTTTCCTGCTGGCAACATGGACACAATATTTTGCAGTAATACTGGGCCATTTCCTGGCTTTTTGAATCATTGGTACAGAAGCACCATATCCAACATTCATAAACCAGAGGGTTTTTTTTTAAATTGAATTATTGTATAGGAGCAGCAAGAGAAACTGGAGCCATCTGAAGTGCTGTCTGGATCTTCCTCGTGTGGGAAGAAACATCTGTGTGAATGGAAGGATTGCTCAAGTGTGAGACAAAATTGATCACGCGAAAGATAAGTATCTTTTAAATGCAACCCAGATTCTTCCAAATCCCCCCATCTAGTCATGCCCTAATAAAATTTACCCATCAGGTTTCAAGGAACTGTATGCTATTAAAATTAAACATATTAAGCAAAAGATCTGAACATTATTGAATCTTTTTTTTTGGAAGGGTGGGATGATAAATACAAACTTCAGTTTCATAATCTCAGCAATCTAAAGTTCCACACATCTGAGGTCTTCCCAAATAAGACCCATTAAAATGAATATATACATTTCAAAACCTACAATTGTTCCCCCACTTTTGGTTATTGTTTCCTATCTCCTTATGCTATGTGGTTCACTAATAAAATATATTAATTCTGGATTCATAAGCCTCAGGACCTACTCTTCGTTCCAAAAAGACATACAGTACTTTTAAAATTACTCCTGAAAAACTACAGGAAATATTTGAACAAACCTTTGTTTTTCATATACAATCACAACAATAAAAAATAAATATTGCATCATGCTTACGTTTTGTGAGTTTTACCTGCAAGCCTTAAGTTATTTCTTCTAATAAGACATAGAACTATCAAATTCCTACAGGTAACACATGGTTAATTTATGATGCAGCTAAGACAGAATGTAGATAACACTCACCAAGCCAACCTGATCCAGAATTAGGGATGCACATGTCTGTCTCAGCACTCGGCAATACAAATCCAACTACAAAAACCTCCACCCCATCAGCCATTAGAGCCATTCCAAGGACAAAGAAGAGGGCCCACTGAAAACGGCCATGTCCACATTCTTGAATGATTAGCTCATACTGCTGTGCCAGTTCTTCTTCATCAGCCTTTCTCTCTGTCTCCAGTTCTAGACGATCCTTGTAGTCATCTCCGATGTGCTGTCCTACAGCTGCAATTCCATCCTTGTTTTGTGCGGCATTTGGGATGCCCTGATATTCTCCCTCATAGATTTCATCATCTTCATCATGTCCTTCAGTTGCTTCACTGGATCCTTCATCTTCATTTGCTTCTCCATCATAATTTCCTTCCTGGGTATAATATGCATCATCTTCAGCTTGGAAACTATTGTAAGATCTTTCAGTATACCCATCTTGAGTCCTGTCTATGGCTCTATTCACTTTCTTCACTCCTTGCTTCTTGACTTCATTGGCAATGTCCTGAGCCCCTTGCACTAAAGAAGTCCTATCTTCCATCGCATGACCTCTATCCATCTCGTGATAATCAAGGTGTGATCAAACTTATTTTGTGCAGAAGAATTGTTGTGTGTTAGGGAAGTGCAGCAAGAGACTCCAAAGGACACTCACTCTCATAACAAGTCTGAGGGGAAAAAATATGAAAAAACATTTAAGTTTTTAATTACAGAACTAGGTAGTTATCTCTACCCTGCTCAAGAAACAGGACTACTTACAAACCAAGTCCCAATAGATGAATCCACACTATTCTAACCAGAATGCACCAGAAGCAGACAACTGGTGCATTGCAGAAATGCTCCTGCAGAGTAAATAGCTTCAGATGACACAGACAAGGAAACCAAACAGCATGCTAAAAGGAAAAACATTTTGTTCAAAGATTTTTCCTAGCTTCTGTAACTTACATATAAAAATATGAAACTCAATTTGGAAGGATAGCTCATTTCCAAAATATAGCCTAGAGCAAGTCTACATATTCAAACGTTGATCACCATCCACACCCCATGTAGCCCACAAAGCTAAAAGGGACTCCAGTCAATTTTCCCTGGTGGTCAGCTGGACATCAAGGAAAGAAACAGCATTCCCTGGAAAAGAAAGAGCACTGGGAGATGAGGAAGAACGGTCTCTTCCACCATCTCACCATTCCTGTGCATGTAATATGACATGGTGGAAGAAGAATGTGAATGTCGATGCACACATGCACACACAACTCCTGAGTCTGCAGCCAACAGTGGATGCCGCTCTTGGGGCCAACAGGTTTGTAGAATTCTCCATCATGCTATACCCTTTTAAAAATATATGATTTTTTATTTATTCAGTTTGTGGAAAGCCTACATGCAAAGCCACATCTTTAGATGTCTCCTATATGTCAATAGGGAGGGGGCTAGGTGGATCTCTTCTAGAAGCTGGTTCCACAAGGTTGGAGCCACCATGAAGAAGGCCCTACTTCTTGTAGAAGACTTATGGGCTTCCCTCGGGGTGGCCACTTGGAGGAGCCGCAACTCAGATGATCTTGTGGGTTGGGCATGTTTTATGTTTATGTAACACATGGAGAGAATAAGAATCAGGCCTACTATCCCCACTCTGGATTCTGATGGGGGGAGGGCATCAATAATCAAAGCAGGGAGAAACTGGAGCAATCTGAGGACACCTTGGGTCCTTTTAAAGGAGAAAGGCAAGGTAAACATATTTTAAACAAATTAAATAAATAATGATGTCTCAATCCTTCTCATGGGCGAAGAAATGCCTCCCCATGTGAATGGAAGGATCACTCAAGTACAAGATAAATTCACACCAAAGGTAAAAGCCTTTAAAACAGTGTTTCTCAACCTTGTTTGAGTTGGAACCTCCTTTTATAGTAGCCAAGTAACCTGCAACCCACCACCAGGCAGCTCCTCCCCTCATGGGTAACAGGGTGGACCTCAGTTTCTGTGGCACACAACAAGCTGCAGCAAAGTCTCGCTCTGACGCCTCTTGCCCAGCTGTTGCCTCCTTCTCCTTCTCTGGCAGGCAGTGGTGGCCATTGTTTCTGCTTACTGCTTTGCTGTAACCCACAGGTTAGGAACCACTGGTTTAAAACATGACCTGAATTATCCAAATTCCTCCATCTAGTTGCACTCACACAAAGTCTACTGATTCAAGATTCAAAGCCTACTGATTCAGACACAATACACAGAAGTCATGGGAAGAAGGAAGGAAGGAAGGAAGGAAGGAAGGAAGGAAGGAAGGAAGGAAAAGAAGGTCTAATCCTGCTTCCTTGCTTCTTCCATGCACTCAACGGATGCTGTATTATTACACGATGTCCAGGTACCTAGCACATCTAAAGTGAAATCAAGGGTGGATTTAGTTACCACAATGTAAAGTCTTCAAGCCAAACAAGGACTGTGACTTGCACTATCATTAATAGATGGTATGTATTTAGTTCTTTTGACTATAAGAAATTAATGACACTTGAAGGCCAACACAGAGTGAAGGCAATCCAATTAGACAGAAAGCCAAACTCCTCTCCAAGGACTGCGACTTTAATCTCAAATGCTCTTATCATAATGATTTAGAAGTTCTTTTATCAGGGAGAAGGGTTTGAATTGTAGCCACATAAACATTTTCCAGTGATTAAGTGATAACATGTTCTGTTCTGAGAGCAGTTCACAAATGGGGCATCTTTGATTTAAGATGTGTCTGACATTATTCTCAAACATTTCATGAAAATGACATTGCAAAAGGAGTTACCATAAAGTGTCTCAGGCAAAGGTAATATGGTTTCATATAATTCACAACTGAAAGCTTGTGTGATAACACTGGAAGATCAGAGATGGAAGATAAGAACTGGTTCCTTGCAAAACACATTTAAATAAAATATTGATTATTAATTTTGTTCTTTATTCCCTCACTGTGGCTAGATTAACTTGTTTTCCACTGTGTCATTTATCCTTGAACTTTTCATTCAAAATCACTTTGACATTCCCTTACTTCTCTGTATCATCAAATACTGTACATCACCACCATATGTATCATTCCTATTAAAAGCAAACTCTACTAGATATCTATTATGTCATGCCATCACTTGATGGAACCAAACTACTGCCACAGACCAGAGGTTGCTCACTTCTCGAGCAGGTGTCATATCTTACCCAGCTGAATTCTCTTCAGAGGAAAAACATGAGCGCCAGGTCAAAACCTTCCTGTTCCAGAAGGCTTTTAATTGAAATAACAACTGTGGGTCCTGATGATGGCAATTTTAATTGTATTTTAATTGTATTTTAATTGTATTTTAGTCATTTTATTGTATTGAATTTTAATTATTGTAAGCCGCCCAGTGACCTCTGTGTAGAGTGGGCGGCATATAAATTAAATAAATAAATAAATAAATAAATAAAATAAAATGAGGAAGGAAAATTAGNAAATAAAATAAAATGAGGAAGGAAAACTAGAAGAGGGATTTGATGGCCCAGCTGGCAGCACTCTTCCAAAAGCTCAAAGGAAAAGAACAGGGGCTGGGGAAAACTTGGACAATGAAGGGAGCCTGGTAGATATGTGGCTATTTGTCCAAATGAGTGATGCTAACTTTGGCTTTTAGGGCAGAAAAACATAGGGAATCCATACCACCTCCCTGTCCTTGCTTGACTGTGCCTTCTTTATTCACTCAATATGGGACTCTCTGTTACAACTGCATTTGCAGTCTCTGTCCAAATGGTATACCTTTTTTGCCGCTCAGTTGCACACCTTCACCCAATTCCTAATCCAAAAGGCTCTGACTTCTCTTCCAGTTCCTTCTGCTAATACCTGCCAATGGATGTAGAGCAAACATGCTCCCCTCCCCTCTCTCTTACCTTCTTAGATAACCTGTCTTCCCATGCAGAAAATATTGATTATGGAAAAGGGAAATGTGGGTGTGGCCTAACTTGGTGGGTCTGTTGTGCTGTTGTGTCTTTTTCAATTCATCAAAGAAGTTGAGGAGGAACAGAGAGAGAGAGGGAGAGGGAGAGGGAGAGGGAGGGAGGGAGGGAGGGAGAGAGCGAGAGAGAGAGAGAGAGAGAGAGAGAGAGAGATGCCTGACCTTCACCCAGACAGATTCTTTACGAGGAGGTGGTTGAAAAAGCAGGTTAAGTTATATGAGGGCATTTAACACTGTAACATTACATCAAGCCATCATTCACAGGGAAACCCACTTATCCTCTTATCCCCTCCTGTCATTGTCATCTAGTATGGGATGTCTGTAGGGCTGGGTGGTGGTGGTCATGTCCTATTATCTCATATTGGGATGTTGTAATGTAACAGCATAATAACTGCACCGCAAAAGTAGTCGGCAACCTCTCTCTGAGGCCAGAAGTAGCAATGAGAACAATGTAGAAGCAGATGGTCAGAAAACTGGGAAAAGCTCATAGAGTCACATAATTACTGAAGCCATGGGTGGGACCAACACCAAGCAAGGGGCTGACAGAACATCGTACAAAAGTAGTTCTAAGCAAGGCTTTCTACAGCAATATGATTCATAGAGTTGTATTTGCTATTCAACTGTGTTAAGTAAAATTATAGCCAAGCTGCAGATAATCAAGGATTCCGTGGTGGATGATGGTGCACTTCATTTGGATCATGAATGATCAGAAAATCAAACCATGGCCCTAGCTTTCACCAACTGGAACAAGCATACAGGCCTAACATCATTGTTACACAGTCAAACAGACATCTGTCAATTAACTGAAAATAGGTGGAGTGTGAGGATGGTGGCAGTGAGGGTTCTTTTGTCTCCTGGAATGCCAACAACGGGTTTCGTCTGACTCACACCTAACATTGTTTCCATTTGTCTGAATTGCTTGGAACTCCTTACAATCAGATTTTACTTATGCTCACACTTCCTGATCTTTGCTTGACTGGTGGATGTTTTACTTTACAGTCAACCCTCGACTTACAAATGGCCCTAGTTACGAACATTTCAACTTACGAACCTCTCTGATAGGAAAATATGGACTCAACTTGCAAACTTGGATTCAAGTCACGAAAGAAAAAAAGTGCGGGGAAGGCAGGGAAAGCGGGAAATTTGAACTTTCAGTTAGTGAAGAGGCTGCTTGTCTGCTTCCTTGCTTGTCCAAGCGGTTAGAGAGTGGGAAGAGGGACCTGGGACTGCCTGGGACTGCCTGGTGTTGTCATTTTAAAATGTAACAGTTTAAAAGGTGCTTTGTTTGGGTTAAACGGTGCTTGGGTAAAAGGGAGCTCGGTTTGAGTTAAAACCTGCTTGGGTAAAAACGTGCTTGGTTGCTTTAAAAGCTGCTTGTTTCAAAAGGTGCTTGGTTGAAAAGGTGCCTGTTTTGGTGTAAACAGTGCTTGGTAGCCCTCGACCTGCAGGAAAAAGAGCACAGCTAAAAGCCGACACCCAGCAGGGAGGCTGGCAGCCATTTTGTGCTCTTCTGTGCTCCTGCCCCCTCCTCTCCCCGCCTAACAGCTGATCAGCTGGGTCTTAAGAGGCTTCTGGAGGCTTGCTCAGCACCTAAACAAGGGAATAAAGCTCCCCCCGCTTTCAGAATCATCCCGGGGGCAAGGGAAAAGCAGCAATTTTTATTTCCAGCTTTATTCCCCAGCTTTCTCACTTGCCCTTTGCTACTTCTTTTGCCAACAGAGGGCTTGTCACTG